AAAGTGGTAGAGGAGGGAAAAAGGGGGGACCCCGTAAATGGGGGGAAGGGGAAAGAACAAAAAGTGGGAAGGGGAGAGAGAGAGAAACAGTAAAAATGGAAGGGAGGAAAAGAGGGAAAAAACCGTAAAGGGTAGAGGAGGAGAGAGAAGACACATAATGGGGAGAGGGGGGAGAGAGAAAATGCGTTTTGGCGCCAAATATTGTCCTCCTGCCACAACCTGAGGGGACAGCCGTGAAAATTGTAATGTAATGTCAATAATATTTCCTGTTTTGTTTTGGCTTTCATAGCATGTAATATGTATTCTCAGTCATGTTGAGATTGGTCGACTACTATTGCTTTAATGTATTGTTATTCTCATTAATATTGGTTGTTTGTAGTTGCTGTTAATGGTAATCCCATTTCCACTACTACTATTATTAATTGCTGTTGGTCCCCCACCATTTTTGTTATATGTCTACTTTGACAATGTAAGTAATTTTACTTGCCATGTCAATAAAGTCTATTGAATTGAATTGAAAATTGAGAGAGAGAGAGAGAGAGAGAGAGAGAGAGAGAGAGAGAGAGAGAGAGAGAGAGAGAGAGAGAGAGAGAGAGAGAGAGAGAGAGAGAGAGAGAGAGAGAGAGAGAGAGAGAGAGAGAGACATCAAAGCGGCAATAGGCTACGGTCATAGAGCCTCGCTCCGTATGTGGCAAAAGTTAGCAGATATCTAATCAATGGGAAGATGGAATTTAAATGACGGAATTAAAAGTTAAAAGGAGAAACATAGGCTACAACGAACAAGAGCCAACAGGTGCTACTTAATATTCTGAATGGAGTTGTTTTTTTGTTTGTCACTGTAGGATGAGAAAGTGCATGCACTGCAGCCTCAGTTAGCTTAGCTAGTGTAGCATAGCTCAGTCTAGTGGCTGGAAACACAGCTAGCGTTAGTGTAGCATAGCGCAGTCTAGTGGCTGGAAACACTTAGACAGGCCTCAGCCGCATTCAAATTCGGGAAGAATATTTTATCCCACTGCAATTCCAACGAATTCCACCCGAATTTGAATGCCACATACAGGCTTTTACAGTTTAGTAGTGTTCTAGGAGTGTTTAGTTTACAGTGGAAAAGCGTTTAGTAATGTGGAGGCTGGATGTCTGTTAAAGTGTTTAACAGTATTCAGTAGTGTTTAGTGTGCAGTATGTCTGTCCAGGGTGTGGCTAGAGGCTAGTAAGACAGGCCTCAGCCTCAGACTGGTTTAAGTGTTTCCAGGTAGACTGAGCTATGCTACACTAACGCTAGCTGTGTTTCCAGCCACTAGACTGAGCTATGCTACACTAACGCTAGCTGTGTTTCCAGCCACTAGACTGAGCTATGCTACACTAACGCTAGCTGTGTTTCCAGCCACTAGACTGAGCTATGCTACACTAACGCTAGCTGTGTTTCCAGCCACTAGACTGAGCTATGCTACACTAATGCTAGCTGTGTTTCCAGCCACTATGCTACACTAACGCTAGCTGTGTTTCCAGCCACTAGACTGAGCTATGCTACACTAACGCTAGCTGTGTTTCCAGCCACTAGACTGAGCTATGCTACACTAATGCTAGCTGTGTTTCCAGCCACTATGCTACACTAAACCTAGCTGTGTTTTCCAGCCACTAGACTTGAGCTATGCTACACTAACGCTAGCTGTGTTTCCAGCCACTAGACTGAGCTATGCAACACTAACGCTAGCTGTGTTTCCAGCCACTAGACTGAGCTATGCTACACTAAACGCTAGCTGTGTTTCCAGCCACTAGACTGAGCTATGCTACACTAACGCTAGCTGTGTTTCCAGCCACTAGACTGAGCTATGCTACACTAACGCTAGCTGTGTTTCCAGCCACTAGACTGAGCTATGCTACACTAACGCTAGCTGTGTTTCCAGCCACTAGACTGAGCTATGCACACTAACGCTAGCTGTGTTTCCAGTCCACTAGACTGAGCTATACTACACTAACGCTAGGCTGTGTTTCCAGCCACTAGACTGAGCTATACACACTAACGCTAGCTGTGTTCCAGCCCCTAGACTGAGCTATGCCCGGTACACTAACGCTAGCTGTGTTCCAGCCACTATACTACACTAACGCTAGCTGTGTTTCCAGTCCACTAGACTGAGCTATGCTACACTAACGCTAGCTGTGTTTCCAGCCACTAGACTGAGCTATGCTACACTAACGCTAGCTGTGTTTCCAGCCACTAGACTGAGCTATGCTACACTAACGCTAGCTGTGTTTCCAGCCACTAGACTGAGCTATACTACACTAACGCTAGCTGTGTTTCCAGCCACTAGACTGAGCTATGCTACACTAACGCTAGCTGTGTTTCCAGCCACTATGCTACACTAACGCTAGCTGTGTTTCCAGCCACTAGACTGAGCTATGCTACACTAACGCTAGCTGTGTTTCCAGCCACTAGACTGAGCTATGCTACACTAACGCTAGCTGTGTTTCCAGCCACTAGACTGAGCTATGCTACACTAACGCTAGCTGTGTTTCCAGCCACTAGACTGAGCTATGCTACACTAACGCTAGCTGTGTTTCCAGCCACTAGACTGAGCTATGCTACACTAACGCTAGCTGTGTTTCCAGCCACTAGACTGAGCTATGCTACACTAACGCTAGCTGTGTTTCCAGCCACTAGACTGAGCTATGCTACAACTACGCTAGCTGTGTTTCCAGCCACTATACTACACTAACGCTAGCTGTGTTTCCAGCCACTATGCTACACTAACGCTAGCTTGTTTTCCAGCCACTATGCTACACTAACGCTAGCTGTGTTTCCAGCCACTAGACTGAGCTATGCTACACTAACGCTAGCTGTGTTTCCAGCCACTAGACTGAGCTATGCTACACTAACGCTAGCTGTGTTTCCATCCACTAGACTGAGCTATGCTACACTAACGCTAGCTGTGTTTTCCATCCACTAGACTGAGCTATGCTACCTACGCTAGCTGTGTTTCCGCCACTAGACTGAGCTTGCTACACTAACGCTAGCTGTGTTTCCAGCCACTATGCTACACTAACGCTAGCTGTGTTTCCAGCCACTAGACTGAGCTATGCTACACTAACGCTAGCTGTGTTTCCAGCCACTATACTATACTAACGCTAGCTGTGTTTCCAGCCACTAGACTGAGCTATGCTACACTAACGCTAGCTGTGTTTCCAGCCACTATGCTACACTAACGCTAGCTGTGTTTCCAGCCACTATGCTACACTAACGCTAGCTTTGTTTCCAGCCACTAGAATGAGCTATGCTACACTTACGCTAGCTGTGTTTCCAGCCACTAGACTGAGCTATGCTACACTAACGCTAGCTGTGTTTCCAGCCACTATACTATACTAACGCTAGCTGTGTTTCCAGCCACTAGACTGAGCTATGCTACACTAACGCTAGCTGTGTTTCCAGCCACTAGACTGAGCTATGCTACACTAACGCTAGCTGTGTTTCCAGCCACTAGACTGAGCTATGCTACACACTAACGCTAGCTGTGTTTCCAGCACTGGACTGAGCTATGCTACACTAACCTAGCTGTGTTTCCAGCCACTAGACTGAGCTTTTGCTAAAACTAACGTAGCTGTGTTTCCGCCACTATACTATACTAAGCTACTGTTGTTCCACCACTAGAAATGAGCTATGCTAAACCACTAACGCTAGCTGTGTTTCCAGCCAAATAGACTGAGCTATGCTACACTAACGCTAGCTGTGTTTCCACCACTAGCTCACTAACGCTAGCTGTGTTTCCAGCCACTATGCTACCACTAACGCTAGCTGTGTTTCCACCACTAGACTGAGCTATGCTACACTAACGCTAGCTGGTTTCCAGCCACTAGACTGAGCTATGCTACACTAACCCCTAGCTGTGTTTCCAGCCACTACTACAACTAACGCTAGCTGTGTTTCCGCCACTAGACTGAGCTATGCTACACTAACGCTAAACTGTGTTTTTCCCGCCACTATGCTACACTAACGCTAGCTGTGTTTCCAGCCACTAGACTGAGCTATGCTACACTAACGTAGCTGTGTTTCCAGCCACTAGACTGAGCTATGCTACACTAACGCTAGCTGTGGTTTCCAGCCACTAGACTGAGCTATGCTACACAACGCTAGCTGGGGTTTCCAGCCACTAGACTGAGCTATGCTACACTAACGCTAGCTGTGTTTCCACCACTAGACTGAGCTATGCTACACTAACGCTAGCTGTGTTTTTCCCGCCACTATACTACACTAACGCTAGCTGGTTTCCAGCCACTAGACTGAGCTATGCTACACTAACGCTAGCTGTGTTTCCAGCCACTATGCTACACTAACGCTAGCTGGGTTTCCAGCCACTAGACTGAGCTATGTCACTAACGCTAGCTGTGTTTCCAGCCACTAGAACTGACTATGCTACACTAACGCTAAGGGTGTGTTTCCAGCCAACTATACTACACTAACGCTAGCTGTGTTTCCAGCCACTAGACTGAGCTATGCTACACTAACGCTAGCTGTATCAGCAGGGAATGTCATTCCATTCCATAGCTCTTAGAAAGCAGCTAGAACAGAGCTGATGTAACTCTGAGGGATCTGGAGACATACTGAACATTACATAACTAACAAGTATAACTCTCTGTCCACAGTACATTACCCAGCCAGGGCAGTCAACAGCCTTCTACAGAGCAGTACATTACCCAGCCAGGCCAGTCACATCCTTCTACAGAGCATACATTACCCCAGCCAGGCCAGTCATCAGCCTTCTACAGATGCAGTACATTACCCAGCCAGGCCATTCATCAGCCTTCTACAGAGCAGTACATTACCCAGCCGGCCAGTCATCAGCCTTCTACAGAGCAGTACTTACCCACCAGGCCAGTCATCAGCCTTCTACAGAGCAGTAACATTACCCCAGCCAGGGCAGTCATCAGCCTTCTACACGAGCAGTACATTACCCAGCCAGGCCAGTCATCAGCCTTCTACAAGCAGTACATTACCCAGCCAGGCCAGTCATCAGCCTCTACAGAGGCAGTACATTACCCAGCCAGGCCAGTCATCAGCCTTCCACAGAGCAGTACATTACCAGCCAGGCCATCATCAGCCTTCTACAGGCAGTACATTACCCAGCAGGCCAGTCATCAGCCTTCTACAGAGCAGTACATTACCCAGCCAGGCCAGTCATCAGCCTTCTACAGAGCAGTACATTACCCAGCCAGGCCAGTCATCAGCCTTCTACAGAGCAGTACATTACCCAGCCAGGCCAGTCATCAGCCTTCTACAGAGCAGTACATTACCCAGCCAGGCAGTCATCAGCCTTCTACGAGCATTACATTACCCAGCCGGGCCCAAATTCCTCACCTTCTACAAGCAGTACATTCCCCACCCACCGGGCCCAGTCATCAGCCTCTACAGAGCGTACATTACCCAGCCAGGCCATCATCAGCCTTCAGAGCAGACATAACACAACAGAAAAAGCTTTGAAGGTATCTGGCTGTTGCCGAGCGGAGAATGTCAAACCGACTAGAGGGGAAGCGGCCAGAGAAGAGGAGAGCGGTCTAATTGGTTTAGTGGAAAATATTTATTTGAAGTGGTCACATAAAGTTAATGAGCCTTGAGAAGGATTTATAGACATATGGGTATCTACCAGAAACGGAAACAGAGCACTAATCTTTGAAACGTTGAGAAAGTGTGATAACAGATAACACGTGTTAGCGTGAGGACAGGAGTTAAATAAACAGTACATAAGCTAGTTTATGACCCAACAGATTTCAACATTCCTCCCACCAAAACAGAGCCTGTTGGATGAAAGTAAACATTGTGTGAGCTGATGAGATGGGTGAACGTGATATGCATGATTCAGTCTGGGGGCTGTGGAATGTCTGGGGGCTCAACAAATCATACCGGATCTCCGGGGTGATGATCTCTGCAGCCAGCGAATCAGAGCCCTCGTTACTGCCGAGTGGAACCATGCCTGGAGAAACACAAACACATTATGTTAGACACAAACTCTGATGACTAAAACAGACTAGAGGCACTGCGGGGACATGAATATGAACAAAACTAAAAGGGAAAAGAACGGTTTACTGCTTTTTTAAATATCAACAAGTAAACTTAACACCCAAACCCGTTAAAACCCCCTTTTTCCCCTTTAGTAACCCTTCCCCGTTTTTCTTCCCCCCCCTTTTTTTTTCGTTTTTCTCTTTCGAAGACAAATGACAGCAGGGGAGGAAAAAAGTAAATAGGGAGAGCAGGATTTTTGTGTTTTTTTCCCTGGAGATAGGGGTTTTTCCTTCTGAGGGCCTTTAAAAAACGCACGTCCTCAAAGGGTCTCCTTCAAGGTCTCTCTCCCGACCTCATCCTCCCCGGGGAAGGGGGGGAGGTTGGGAAAAAGAGGGGAGAGAAAGAGAGAGAGAGAGGGGAAAGAAGGGGAGGAGAGAAAAGAAAAGAGAGGTTTATATAGTTTCTAAGGGGCGGAGATGTGGAAAAAGAGACGGAGAGGAGAAGAGGAAGAGAGAGTCAAGAGAGGAGTAGATAGAAGAGAAGGGGTATATTTAAAAAAGCTACCCCCCTTTTTTGGGCGACCTACTTAGTAAGGGCGATTGGAAGAATTTTACCCCCATTCTAAATCAAAAGAACATGCAAAAGGGTAAAATATTTATCATTTTTCAGGCCCCTTTTACCGATTTGCGGGACCCAATTTAATTGCCGGTCTGACGCTGGGGGAAAAAAGGGGGGGGATAAAAAAACTAGGAAAAGGAAACTGTTGTGAAAGGGCAAAAAAAACCTTTTTCCCCGCACAAAACTTACTCCCAGGATTTGAGCAACACACTTTTGTACGACCACGGCTGCTTCCCCGTTTCAGAACCAGGGGGGTTTCTTCCTGTTTTCAGCCACGGCTGTTCTTTCCCGTTTCAACCAAAGGCTTTCTTCCCGTTAAAACCACGCTGCTTCCCCTTTTTCACCCCAGGGGGGTGGGTTTTCCCGTTTAAAGGGGGGGGCCCCGGGTGCTTCCCCGTTACAGACCCCGGGCTTTTTCCCCTTTTTCCGTTTTACCAGACCACGGCTGCTTCCTGTTTACAGGAACACGGCTGCTTCCTGTTTACAGACCACGGCTGCTTCCTGTTACAGACCACGGCTGCTTCCTGTTACAGACCACGGCTGCTTCCTGTTGTTTACAGACAACGGCTGCTTCCTGTTTACAGACCACGGCTGCTTCCTGTTTACAGACCACGGCTGCTTCCTGTTTACAGACCATGGCTGCTTCCTGTTTACAGACCACGTCTGCTTCCTGTTTACGTTCCACTTCTGTTATTATTACAGATGACTGGTTGACTGACCTGTGGTTCTGTAAACTATAGTAGTACTGAAGTACAGTACTGTAAACTGACATGAACCATTGTTGCACCTACATCTTTTTCTTTCTGGAGAGAGTCCACCTTCTCCTTGAGTCTCTTGTATTCAAACTCCATCTTGTCTGTCTTTTTAGACTCCTCAGACAGCCTGTTCTGCAGCTCTACCACCTGGGGACAACAAAGACAGTATGTTAAACTCTCTCTCTGTGTGTTTGTAGTGGTGTGTGTGTGTGTGTGTGTGTGTGTGTGTGTGTGTGTGTGTTGTCTCCATCCATACCTGTCTCTTGTAGGTCTCCAGCTGTCCTCTGGTGGTGTTGGCCTTGCGTACTTCTTCCTCCAGACTGACAGTGTTCTGCATGTAGACAGTGTTCTTCTCCTCTAAGAGCTTAACCTGTCTCCTCAGGTCTCCCAGGTCCTCTAGCTTCTTCTTATAGGCCTCCACCGTGCCCTCCAGCTTGGACACCTTGTCTGACGAGTGTCTGTATGACACAAGCGGAGGTCAGTGTCTACGCAAAACGTTGTGCCGCCAGTGGGCTGCCAACTATGCCAAAGGCGGGCAACGAGTGCACCACTACATGCCTGCTTGCTGGGTTAACTAGCACTTGAGTGTTACCATGGTTGGGGTCAATTCCATTTCAATTGAGTCAACTCAGGAATTAAACTTCCTATTTGAATTGACCCCTACCATGAAAAACATGGAAAAAGAGAGACATATTTGTGTGAGTCTGCCTGAGCTGAGTACGTCCATCAAGTCAGGGGGGGTACAAAGTCCCTTCAGTGACTGGGCCTCATCAGCCAGGGTTAGGGGTTAGGGTGTAGGGTTAGGGTGTAGGGTTAGGGGTTAGGGTGTAGGGTTAGGGGTTAGGGTGTAGGGTTAGGGGTTAGGGTGTAGGGTGTAGGGTTAGGGGTTAGGGTGTAGGGTTAGGGGTTAGGGGTTAGGGTTAGGGGTTAGGGTGTAGGGCGGTTCCTACCTGAGTACGTCCATCTCGTCCTTTAGTGACTGGGCCTCATCAGCCAGGGTTAGGGGTTAGGGGTTAGGGGTTAGGGTGTAGGGTTAGGGTGTAGGGTTAGGGGTTAGGGTGTAGGGTTAGGGGTTAGGGTGTAGGGCGGTTCCTACCTGAGTACGTCCATCTCGTCCTTTAGTGACTGGGCCTCATCAGCCAGGGTTAGGGGTTAGGGTGTAGGGTTAGGGGTTAGGGGTTAGGGTGTGGGGTTAGGGGTTAGGGTGTAGGGTTAGGGGTTAGGGTGTAGGGTTAGGGTGTAGGGTTAGGGGTTAGGGTGTAGGGTTAGGGGTTAGGGTGTAGGGTGGTTCCTACCTGAGTACGTCCATCTCGTCCTTTAGTGACTGGGCCTCATCAGCCAGGGTTAGGGGTTAGGGGTTAGGGGTTAGGGTGTAGGGTTAGGGGTTAGGGTGTAGGGTTAGGGGTTAGGGGTTAGGGTGTAGGGTGGTTCCTACCTGAGTACGTCCATCTCGTCCTTTAGTGACTGGGCCTCATCAGCCAGGGTTAGGGGTTAGGGTGTAGGGTTAGGGGTTAGGGTGTAGGGTTAGGGGTTAGGGTGTAGGGTGGTTCCTACCTGAGTACGTCCATCTCGTCCTTTAGTGACTGGGCCTCATCAGCCAGGGAGGTGAGCTCTTCGTTCTGTCCTCTCAGCTCCGTCAGCTCCTTCTCCAACTCCTCACAGCGGATACGATAGTCATCCTTCGCTGCCTCCAGCCTGCAGAGAGAAACATACACCTCAGTCCAAACTGAAACCCCACACACACATCTGATGATGATGATGACAGATATATATATATATATATATATATATATATACACACAAACTCACAGGAGGTCACCTCACAGTGCCTCAAAAGCTTCAACATGAGATTTGAGGTGATGAGGTTTCCATGCAAAGTGAAATTCTGTCCGTCGTTTGAGGATGTTGTGCTCAGTTGGTGCGGCTCCAGGGGGGGTACAAAGAGCCTGGGGAAATGACCCAGACGGAGAGTGGCCTACTATGGAGGAGTGCCCAAACCCATAGTCCAGCGTTTCCCAAACCCGCTCCTGGGGACCCCAAGGGGTTTTTGCCCCTTTCACTACACAGCTGATTCAAATAACCAACTCATCATCAAGCTTTGATCATTTGAATCAGCTGGGTGAGGGTGAACCCAGTCCCCTGGCCCCCAGGCAGAGTGAGGTCCTGTGGGTGAGGGTGAACCCAGTCCCCTGGCCCCCCAGGCAGAGTGAGGTCCTGTGGGTGAGGGTGAACCCAGACCCCCCAGGCAGAGTGAGGTCCTGTGGGTGAGGGTGAACCCAGTCCCCTGGCCCCCAGGCAGAGTGAGGTCCTGTGGGTGAGGGTGAACCCAGTCCCCTGGCCCCCCAGGCAGAGTGAGGTCCTGTGGGTGAGGGTGAACCCAGACCCCCCAAGCAGAGTGAGGTCCTGTGGGTGAGGGTGAACCCAGACCCCTGTCCCCCAGGCAGTGAGGTCCCATGGGTGAGGGTGAACCCAGTCCCCAGACCCCCAGGCAGAGTGAGGTCCTGTGGGTGAGGGTGAACCCAGACCCCTGTCCCCCAGGCAGTGAGGTCCCATGGGTGAGGGTGAACCCAGACCCCTGTCCCCCAGGCAGAGTGAGGTCCCATGGGTGAGATGAACCCAAGGGCACTGTGTTTTTACCTCCAGTGGAACAGGGGCAGCGAGGGGGCTGGTTTGGGGCTGGGTGGAGGGGCTGGTAATCTCAGAGTGACATTACCTGCTGTGAGATCCCAATGGTTAGTGGCTGGTCTAGGATCAGTTTAGCCTTTTAAATCATAATGAATAAGACTTGTGACGTCACGAGAGGCTACACAGCTTTCAGCGGGATTGCTCAAGTAGTGCAAGGAGACAAGGTTCAAACAAAACAAGGATTTTATTAAAGGTCTTGGGAAATTAACGAAAATATAACAAAATTCTGTTCTCTTGTGGCTCTTTAAGGGTTAACAGTTCAGGGATGTCTCTTCCACATCCAAAATCATAATTCTCACTCGCTCAGAAACTTTTCCCCAGCCTTACTGTAGTCCACGTTGCAGCTAGTGGCCAACCCAGCAAAAAGTCCTTCCAAATGTCTCTCACGTATTTCCACAGGTGCATATATCCAAAGGTGAGTATTTCCCAAAGGTAAGTATCTCCAAATCCTTATATTCCTCCTGGAAGTGGACGTGCAGCACTCTTGTCCTCCAGAGAGCCCAGGTTGGAGACTGTGTTTCTTCACAACCCACACACTCCCTCTCAGTGTGTCTCTTCCCTTCCAAACCTTCAGCTCATCAGCTCCTCATTTGTTTCAGCTGCGTGGGAAGATTGGCCATAGAGGGGTGGAGTTCCCGACCATACCAGCAGATGGAGCCATAGCTGTCTGGGTTTGCAGCCATCTCAGGGGGATGTAACGTCCCTCCAGGACACAGCCTCTCGTGACATCACACATCCCCCTCCTCGGGACCGACGTCCTCGTCGGGGTAAAGGCAGCGAAGAAGGCATCACGCCGGGAGAGGGCGTCCGCATTGCCGTGGTGCTTGCCAGCCCATACTGGCCTGTGAGAGGGGGAAGCTCTTGGGTGCCTGGGACGTCTTCTTCCCTGGAGAACGGAGCACTTTCCTGGGCTGCGTTCTCTTCTCCCGTATCCGGACCAGTCTCTGTGTCGGTCTGGGCACCTGCCATCCCTATCAGAGCCTCTCCGTTTCCGAGGTACTCGGGTTATCCTCTCCTGAGACTCTCTCCAGAGTGGGTAAAAGGCTGGGCAGTCTCGTCCAATTAGGACAGGAACGGGGAGGGAATCAACCACCCCCGCCGTCGTGTGTATGGTTCCCCGTGTGCTGGTCATTGTAAGTTCAGTAATGGGGTATTCTCTGGTGTCTCCATGGACACAGGAAACTGGGAGGACTTTCCCCGGGGTCAGACACGTTGGGCCCACCAAATCCTTACGCACCAGGGTGGCCCGGCTACCAGAATCCAGTAAGGCCTCCACATCATGGTGATTCACAGTTACTGGGCAGGTGGGGGGTCGATCTGGGCCGCCATCTACGACTCCCAAGAGCGAGGCAAAACGGTGTGTGGGTGCTGAGCTGGAGGACTCCGCAGTGGGCATAGGTTCATCGGCTGGTTTCCCACACTGCCAGGAGATATGTCCCATCTCCCCACACCGGTAACACTGTCGAGTTTCCCCCTCCTGGTGTACTCTTCTTGGACCCGCCTGGTTTCTGGCTCCCCCTGGAGCCGGGATAAGTCCTGACGTGGCTGGGTTCGAGACCTTGGGGTCCTTTGGACGGGTTCTTCCCATTTGTGGTGGGGCCGCACTCCTGGGGTCTTTTCGGGAAGCATTCAGCATCTCCGCTGTGGCCTGGTACTTTTCCACAGCTTCCACGGTCAGATCAGCCGTGGTCAAGGCCTGTTGACTGATGAACCGTTTTGCCTCATAAGGCAGGGCGCGTAGGTAACGATCCACCACAACGGCCTCCACCACCGCCGCTGCTGTATTCCTCTGCGGATCCAGCCATTTCCTTGCGATTCGGACAAGTTCATGCATCTGCGCCCGAGGAGGTTGGTCTGGTTGGAAGGTCCAGCTGTGAAAGCGCTGGGCCATACCAAACGTTGTGAGTCCATATCTGCTGAGGATCTCAGCCTTCAGGGCATCATAGTCAGTAACCTGGTCAGGGCCCAGGTCCCGGACAGCATTCAGCGATTCCCCGGTTAGGAAGGGGGCTAACAGACCAACCCACTGTTGCTTGGGCCAGGCTTCCCTAGTGGCCGTGGCCTCAAATGCATGCAGGTATGCCTCAATGTCATCGGTAGCTCCCATCTTAGATATAAAGTCACTTGCCTTTATGGGGCGGGTATTTTGGACAACCCTCTGTCTCTGCAACTGCAATTCCTCTGCCTTCAGAAGGTTGGCTTTCTTTTGCTCCTCCAAGAGAGCCACGTTTGCTTGCATCTGGGCTTGCTGGCCAGCAACAAGGGCTTTCAATATGTCCTCCATTTCAGTCGGCGGAGAGCCTACGGCCAACTTGGAAAACTGGGTGATCAAACCTTCGGTATCCTCCTCTGACATGCACTATTAACGCTTGAGCTTGCCCGTATTCTCCACCATCTGTGACGTCACGAGAGGCTACACAGCTTTCAGCGGGATTGCTCAAGTAGTGCAAGGAGACAAGGTTCAAACAAAACAAGGATTTTATTAAAGGTCTTGGGAAATTAACGAAAATATAACAAAATTCTGTTCTCTTGTGGCTCTTTAAGGGTTAACAGTTCAGGGATGTCTCTTCCACATCCAAAATCATAATTCTCACTCGCTCAGAAACTTTTCCCCAGCCTTACTGTAGTCCACGTTGCAGCTAGTGGCCAACCCAGCAAAAAGTCCTTCCAAATGTCTCTCACGTATTTCCACAGGTGCATATATCCAAAGGTGAGTATTTCCCAAAGGTAAGTATCTCCAAATCCTTATATTCCTCCTGGAAGTGGACGTGCAGCACTCTTGTCCTCCAGAGAGCCCAGGTTGGAGACTGTGTTTCTTCACAACCCACACACTCCCTCTCAGTGTGTCTCTTCCCTTCCAAACCTTCAGCTCATCAGCTCCTCATTTGTTTCAGCTGCGTGGGAAGATTGGCCATAGAGGGGTGGAGTTCCCGACCATACCAGCAGATGGAGCCATAGCTGTCTGGGTTTGCAGCCATCTCAGGGGGATGTAACGTCCCTCCAGGACACAGCCTCTCGTGACATCACAGACTATATTGACAGGGGCCTAATTGTAGATCAGCACTACTACTCTGGGACGCTTTATAAATACAGGTCCTGGTCTGGAGGACAACAGACACAGCCGGGGCACAGCTGATCGTCAGAGGTAAGACTGTCCCAAATACTTTTATTCCTATAGACAACAGACTGGGAGGAGACTGGGAGGCAGTGTGGGAGCCAGGGGAATTGTCCATTAAAAGGGCTATTTATAGTAGTTTAATCTGTAGACATCAAGAGACTCAGAGACCCGTGGCTGTAGTTTAATCTGTAGACATCAAGAGACTCAGAGACCTGTGGCTGTAGTTTAATCTGTAGACATCAAGAGACTCAGAGACCTGTGGCTGTAGTTTAATCTGTAGACATCAAGAGACTCAGAGACCTGTGGCTGTAGTTTAATCTGTAGACATCAAGAGACTCAGAGACCTGTGGCTGTAGTTTAATCTGTAGGCATCAAGAGACTCAAAGACCCATGGCTGTAGTTTAATCTGTAGACATCAAGAGACTCAGAGACCTGTGGCTGTAGTTTAATCTGTAGGCATCAAGAGACTCAGAGACCCGTGGCTGTAGTTTAATGTGTAGGCATCAAGAGACTCAGAGACCTGTGGCTGTAGTTTAATCTGTAGACATCAAGAGACTCAGAGACCTGTGGCTGTAGTTTAATCTGTAGACATCAAGAGACTCAGAGACATGTGGCTGTAGTTTAATCTGTAGACATCAAGAGACTCAGAGACCTGTGGCTGTAGTTTAATCTGTAGGCATCAAGAGACTCAAAGACCCATGGCTGTAGTTTAATCTGTAGACATCAAGAGACTCAGAGACCTGTGGCTGTAGTTTAATCTGTAGGCATCAAGAGACTCAGAGACCCGTGGCTGTAGTTTAATGTGTAGGCATCAAGAGACTCAGAGACCTGTGGCTGTAGTTTAATCTGTAGACATCAAGAGACTCAGAGACCCGTGGCTGTAGTTTAATGTGTAGGCATCAAGAGACTCAGAGACCCATGGCTGTAGTTTAATCTGTAGGCATCAAGAGACTCAAAGACCCATGGCTGTAGTTTAATCTGTAGGCATCAAGAGACTCAGAGACCCGTGGCTGAGGTAGAATAGCTCTTTAACAAATCAATCTGTCAGTGAGTCATGGAGCCTCTTTAATAATAGCTCTACTTGAACTCTCAGTCAGCACTAGCTTCTGGTTCTATCGGTGAGACCAGGAACATATCAATCTTAAAAACACACAGGGACCGAAACTGCCTTGTAATCAATCTGAACTGCAGGGTGTGAACTAGAGGGAAGTGACCTAAGGAACTGAATGAGAAGCTCATTGTCGTTCATAGTGCACTTAAATTGGGGCCGAGAACCATTTAGGCCACAGCCTCTCTGCCAGTCAACCCCCCCCCACCCCCCCCTCCTCCCTACCTAAGGGGTCTTACCTGAAGGTCTCCTCCTGGAGATGTTCTAGGTGTGTCTGCAGCTGCAGGTGTCTGCGTCCCACAGGGCTGTTCAGGTCTTCTATGGAGTCCGACTGGTTGAGACGCTCCATGAGGATCTGGTTCTCAGCCAGGAGACTACCCCTCTCCTCCTGTAACGCTGCCACCTGGGGGTGGGGGGGTGGAACACGTCAATACAGTCAACTTTAAAAACATTTCAGGGGAGGATCATATCATTGACATACTGTATACAAACAGTCTACCATGTATTTCAGTCTTTACAAGAACACCATAACATTTGTATTTTTCTTAAATCATGAAAAGGTACAGTAGTTACAAATCAGAATTTTTCTTCGACAGCAAAACTGTTTTTCATGACCACATTTCATGATCACACACAATTGATTTCAAATAAGGAAAAAAGCAAGCACACAAAACAAGCTGCAAACGTACAAACTCTTACAGTACAGAGCAAACTGGGCAACGTGCTTTTATATGGCCTTCTCAATAACGTGATGGCAGGAACAAACTCACTCCACAAAGTTTTTTACATTTACATTTTTAGTCATTTAGCAGACGCCCTTATCCAGAGCGACTTACAGTTAGTGCATTCATCTGAAGATAGCTAGATGGGACAACCACATATCTCAGTCATAGTAAATACATTTTTCATCATTAAACAAGTTATCAGCAAAGTCAATGGTAGTAGTGGGGGGGGGGGGAGAGACACACACAGAAGTAAAGCATCAGTGGTGTGTTTCAGAAACAGTCATGGTGGTTCTACCTACTGTGGTTCTACCTACTGTGGTTCTACCTACTGTGGTTCTACCTACTGTGGTTCTACCTACTGTGGTTCTACCTACTGTGTATGGCTTCATTAAAACAGGCAGCTCAAGTGAAATGTAGCTTAGCAGCTGATAAAGCAACCTAACCCTAAAACACAGAGATCTACTGTAGTGTGAAACACCTAACCCTAAAACACAGAGATCTACTTTAGTGTGAAACACCTAACCCTAAAACAGAGACGTACAGTACTGTGAAACACCTAACCCTAAAACACAGAGACCTACTGTACTGTGAAACACCTAACCCTAAAACACAGAGATCTACAGTACTGTGAAACACCTAACCCTAAAACACAGAGATCTACTGTACTGTGAAACACCTAACCCTAAAACACAGAGATCTACAGTACTGTGAAACACCTAACCCTAAAAACACAGAGACCTACTGTACTGTGAAACACCTAACCCTAAAAACACAGAGACCTACTGTACTGTGAAACACCTAACCTTAAAACACAGAGATCTACTGTACTGTGAAACACCTAACCCTAAAACACAGAGATCTACTGTACTGTGAAACACCTAACCCTAAAACACAGAGATCTACTGTACTGTGAAACACCTAACCCTAAAACACAGAGATCTACTGTACTGTGAAACACCTAACCCTAAAACACAGAGATCTACTGTACTGTGAAACACCTAACCCTAAAACACAGAGATCTACAGTACTGTGAAACACCTAACCCTAAAACACAGAGATCTACTGTACTGTGAAACAGCAGTTCATCAACAAACATGTTTTCTTCTGGCTCCAGAGAGACATCTTAAAGTGAAAGTTCTTAAAGAACTCTCTTCTCCAGCCACATTACCTTACTACTCTGTCATAGAAGGAAATGCTAACTATAATATAATAATAATAATAATAATAATAATAATAATAATAATAATAATATGCCATTTAGCAGACGCTTTTATCCAAAGCGACTTACAGTCATGCGTGCATACATTTTTTTTTTTTGTGTATGGGTGGTCCCGGGGATCGAACCCACTACCTTGGCGTTACAAGCGCCGTGCTCTACCAGCTGAGCTACAGAGGACCACAACAGTGCATGGATCTCCACCTAGGAGGATAGAGGACCAGTGAGTCCATTGGCAGTTGGCAGCCAGGTAGGTTAACTCCCCATTCGCCATCTGTTGAGGAGGAACCCCATTCGCCATCTGTTGAGGAGGAACCCCATTCGCCATCTGCATGATGTTTCTCAATAGCTCTATTCTCTTTTGTGACACTGGTGAGACAGAACACTCCTGCCGACCAAACAACCAAGCACTTCCTGCCATCGGGACGTCTTGGTAACATACAAGGAAGTAAACATGGGGAGGGGGGAGGAGAATTAGTCTGGACGGGGCAGGGTGGGTGGGTGGGTGGGGCTTGGTGACACAGCACTGAGGTGGACAGGACAGCTGGCCAATAGGGTTCTGGTCAAAAGCTGGGCAGAGTAATAGTGAATAGGGTGCTGTTTGGGACGCTGCAACAGTTAAAGGGAGCCTGATCTCAAACAGGAGATGCTGTTGTTGAAGCAGACAGCAGACTGCAAATCCAGGGCTTTCAATTCACACACCAAAAAGGACAAGGACTGAGAGAAGTTAGGAATAAAAAAAGGTGTCATTTACCCTCTCCTCTAGTTCAATATACTCTAACCTCAGTTTATCTCGCTGCTCCTGCGCACGGAAGGCCTTCAAAGCAAGGCGCAGAGTAACGGAGTTTCAGTCAAGTCAGGAGAATAGAAGAGGTCAATGTTAATCAGAGTAACGGAGGTTCAGACGGGTGTATAGAGCAGGACAATAGAACAGACTGAGGCTAACGATCGTTTAGTCTAAATTACACGACAGCGTCCTGGAAATAAGACGACATTTGCTAAAGTAGGCAAATATTTAGTAGGGAACAACTTCGCCATCATTATCATGTCGTCAAATTCCTACTTTGGCAATGTTGTCATTAGCTGGCAATGTTGTCATTAGCTGGCAATGTTGTCATTAGCTGGCAAAGTTGTCATTAGCTAGCAAAGTTGTCATTAGCTAGCAAAGTTGTCATTAGCTGGCAATGTTGTCAATAGCTGGCAATGTTGTCAATAGCTGGCAATGTTGTCATTAGCTGGCAATGTTGTCATTAGCTAGCAAAGTTGTCATTAGCTAGCAAAGTTGTCATTAGCTAGCAAAGTTGTCATTAGCTAGCAAAGTTGTCATTAGCTGGCAATGTTGTCAATAGCTGGCAATGTTGTCAATAGCTGGCAATGTTGTCATTAGCTGGTAATGTTGTCATTAGCTGGCAATGTTTTCATTAGCTAGCAAAGTTTGTCAAAAATAGCTAGCAATGCTAACGTGAGCTAACTATAATCTGGAGTTCTCCCCTCAATCTTAGCTAGCTAGCTAACGTTATACTGCATCTAAAGTCAATCTGGCGACATCAAAATTACGACAAAAAGGTTTTCCTGCTAACTATTTGCCTCCTTTGGAAATGTCATTGTATTTCAAAGCCACTGTAATGCACTTTTGATGAAATCTTAATTAGTGCTCAATGACAATGTATTGAGTAGAATGTTCAGTCGGGCATCAGTCCTAAAACGAATGTTCAAAACAATATTGTGACGAAACGTGCAACCCATGATCAGGACACCATGGTGAACTATGACCTAGACTTGTAGCTGTCACGAACCATATTGAAGTCAGAGAGAGCCCTGTTCACTTAAAGGAATTAAACCAAACGTAAGGCCAACCTGCATGTCCAGCTCGTGACATCTCTGTGCGATCTCCTCCTTGGTGGCTAGAGCCTCATTCAGATCCTCCACCGTCTTCTTCAGCTGGAAATAGAACTAATACCTCAGAATTAACATGGAAGAATACAAAATAAATTCTGATACACTAAATAAAATGTTTATTGTATTAAAAGATACAAACATTCTCTGTAACATCGGAACATCTTACCTGTCCATCGATGTCAGCGTACGATTCGTTTCCTCCTATAACTGGACACTCTTTGCTCATCAGCTACAACACAGAGACCATACACAGTGTGATGTCATCAGCTACAACACAGAGACCATACACAGTGTGATGTCATCAGCTACAGCACATGGAGACCCTACACAGTGTGATGTCATCAGCTACAACACATGGAGACCCTACACAGTGTGATGTCATCAGCTACAGCACATGGAGACCCTACACAGTGTGATGTCATCAGCTACAACACATGGGGACCATACACAGTGTGATGTCATCAGCTACAACACATGGAGACCCTACACAGTGTGATGTCATCAGCTACAGCACATGGAGACCCTACACAGTGTGATGTCATCAGCTACAGCACATGGAGACCCTACACAGTGTGATGTCATCAGCTACAGCACATGGAGACCATACACAGTGTGATGTCATCAGCTACAGCACATGGAGACCATACACAGTGTGATGTCATCAGCTACAGCACATGGAGACCATACACAGTGTGATGTCATCAGCTACAGCACATGGAGACCATACACAGTGTGATGTCATCAGCTACAGCACATGGAGACCATACACAGTGTGATGTCATCAGCTACAACACATGGAGACCATACACAGTGTGATGTCATCAACTACAGCACATGGGGCCCATACACAGTGTGATGTCATCAGCTACAACACATGGGGACCATACACAGTGTGATGTCATCAGCTACAACACATGGGGACCATACACAGTGTAGTATGTGTCATTTGAGGACACAGAAAATGCATCTCGAGTAAAGCACACAGACATTTCAAAATGTTTACAAAGGCCTACCTCTTGAATGGCTGTCATGACAACATGTTGAACAGATTCCTCCAACATCATTATGGTCTGGATGTATTCTAGAAGGGCAGAGAGAGACACAGTGAATGACTACATGTTCTGTCTAAGAAGCTGAGGTACACAATGACAAGAACTGAAATTGACGAAGCTGTGAGAGGAATGTTGCAGATAAACTGGAAGCCTCTCATCTTACACACTTCCTCAACTGAACTCTGAATACCGTCTTGACCCTTCAAACTCAACTCTGGACCTCCAAGTCAGTTCCACTGTATTTTTTCATTGTTCCCCTCTAATCAGGGACTGATTTAGACCTGGGACACCAGGTGTGTGCAATTCATTATCAGGTAGAACAGAAAACCAGCAGGCTCCGGACCTCGTAGGAAAATTGTTGAATACCCCTGGTCTAGACTCTAGGACAAGGCTGTGTACTGTCTAGACTCTAGGACAAGGCTGTGTACTGTCTAGACTCTAGGATAAGGCTGTGTACTGTCTAGACTCTAGGACAAGGCTGTGTACTGTCTAGACTCTAGGTCAAGGCTGTGTACTGTCTAGACTCTAGGTCAAGGCTGTGTACTGTCTAGACTCTAGGACAAGGCTGTGTACTGTCTAGACTCTAGGACAAGGCTGTGTACTGTCTAGACTCTAGGACAAGGCTGTGTACTGTCTAGACTCTAGGACCAGCCTGTGTACTGTCTAGACTCTAGGTCAAGGCTGTGTACTGTCTAGACTCTAGGACAAGGCTGTGTACTGTCTAGACTCTAGGACAATGCTGTGTACTGTCTAGACTCTAGGTCAAGGCTGTGTACTGTCTAGACTCTAGGACAAGGCTGTGTACTGTCTAGACTCTAGGACAAGGCTGTATACTGTCTAGACTCTAGGACAAGGCTGTGTACTGTCTAGACTCTAGGTCAAGGCTGTGTACTGTCTAGACTCTAGGACAAGGCTGTGTACTGTCTAGACTCTAGGTCAAGGCTGTGTACTGTCTAGACTCTAGGACAAGGCTGTGTACTGTCTAGACTCTAGGACAAGGCTGTGTACTGTCTAGACTCTAGGACAAGGATGTGTGCTGTCTAGACTCTAGGACAAGGCTGTGTACTGTCTAGACTCTAGGACAAGGCTGTATACTGTCTAGACTCTAGGACAAGGCTGTATACTGTCTAGACTCTAGGATAAGGCTGTATACTGTCTAGACTCTAGGACAAGGCTGTGTACTGTCTAGACTCTAGGACAAGGCTGTGTACTGTCTAGACTCTAGGTCAAGGCTGTGTACTGTCTAGACTCTAGGACAAGGCTGTGTACTGTCTAGACTCTAGGTCAAGGCTGTGTACTGTCTAGACTCTAGGACAAGGCTGTGTACTGTCTAGACTCTAGGACAAGGCTGTGTACTGTCTAGACTCTAGGACAAGGCTGTGTACTGTCTAGACTCTAGGACAAGGCTGTATACTGTCTAGACTCTAGGACAAGGCTGTGTACTGTCTAGACTCTAGGACAAGGCTGTGTACTGTCTAGACTCTAGGACAAGGCTGGAGTCTAGTAACAACCTTGAGCGCTTCTTCAGAGACACAACGGCCTATACAGACAGCCTAGCCCATGCTGAGCAGACAGACAGACAGACACACCTTGTTTCTGCTCACAGTTGACAGCGCAGCCTAGTATGAGTTGCAGCATCCTGCCCAGCTCTGCAGCGTCTGAGTGTTCTCCTATCAGGCTGATGTCTGGCAGGGTGAAGTCATTGATCTGCTGCTGTAGGACCTCCTGGTTGTAGTCCAGTATACCTTTCAACACCTTCTTTAGATTACTGATCTGAAAAGAGGAGGGAAGATGAGAGATTGGGACTGTGGCACTGACGAGGGAATGGACATGTATGACAAAGGCTTGAGAGCAGATGGCACAAAAAAAGACAATGTATTAAAACGACCACCCATGTATCATCTTCATACCTTTAGCCGCCAGTTATCTCCCACCTCAGGCTTGATCCTACTGATCCAGTTGTCAGTGAAATACACAATGTCTCTGGAGAAGAGAAAGGTAAGTGGTCACAAATGGGAGAAAGAAAGTAAAGAGAGAAACCACACGACGCCTAGCCACGACGCCCAGCCGCGACGCCCTAGCCACGACGGCCACTAAAAAGGTAGGCTTGATGGTTTCACAAAACTCATTTCCAGCAGTTAAAAAAATAAACAAAGAATTACAAATATATATAATTGACACTTACATTTTCTGTAGAGCCTGGGCCATGACAATCCCACTTGTGAGATCTTCCACTGTTTTGCATGGTGCCTCCAATCCAAACGTTTGGATCTAGAAGAAACATGTAGAAAAACAATCATTTCCTGCTATTAAATATTACAGAGATACCCACACACCTTAAATCGTATCCATCATTACTTGACACCTAGCCCTCACCCCTATTCATTATTCACATAGCCTTAAAACTTGGCCACTGTCCATTCTTAACTTCCTTTGCAAAAATGGGATTGGCGCTCTACAACGATTACATTTCAGTCATTTAGCAGATGCTCTTATCCAGAGCGACGACGTACAGTTAGTGAGTGCATACATTTTTCATACTTTGAGCCTTGAGGCTACTCTGACTTTCACAGGAAATGAGTAAAAGACTGTGTCCACTCCAGGGATGACCTAGCTCTCTATGTTGATAACGTGTTAATAGTTGTCAATGTCCTTCATATGAACCAGACCCAGCGGTGTTGTCAGTCTAAACACCCTCATACTGTCAGTGCTCAGACAGAGGTGCCACGTGGCCAGTTGTCCTGTTCCTTCAGTAGATAGCTACCATAGCTCTCTGCAGAGTACTATAAAACACAGCTGTGGCTCTACTCTCCTGTCCTCTCCCGCTCTGCCTTTCCTTCACTCCCCCTCTGTCTGTCTAGTAGCAGTCTGGCTCTCCACTGACTTGGTGTAGAAATAATGAGGTAAAATGAGTTTCCATCTCAGAGCATCACGTCACGTGACTCAAGTGCTCAAGTAATAGAGGAATGTGACTGCAGAGCAGAGTTGATGAACTCCCTGTCCATGCGCCTGTGACCTGCTTGTGGCTTGGCAGCTCTGTCAGACAGTATGATAAGATGTCATGGCAGGCTGTGCTCATGTGTGATCAAGTGAAATCAGATCAAATTAAATGTTATTTGTCACATGCTTGGTAAAACAACAGGTGTAGACTAACAGTGAAATGCTTACTGACGGGCCCTTCCCAACAATGCAGAGAGAAACATATTGAAAAATAATAACACAAGGAATAAATACACAAGGAGTAACGATAACTTGGCTATATACACGGGGTACAAGTCAGTGTTTTCCACAAGTCCATAGAGTAGCCAGACAGACAGAAAAAGTAGCCAGCCAGGCGGCCCCCGGGCCGGGGTTGAAGCAGCTCTATTTTGGTGGTCCCTGGTACATTTGAATGCCTTGATTCTATTTGAAATACACAGAGAAATGATTGACTACTTCATGGAGTTGACCTCCCAGATTGGAGACGTGTTGTAGTATTGTGTAGAAAAGACATGACTTGACAATTTAAAATGACTGAAAATGTATGAATTCAGTGTATTGTTTGTTCTCTTTTTAGTCTAGACCTACATGATCAGGACTAAGTAAGAGAATATTAAACCTTTAACATTTAAAAGATGCACTATGAAGAAATTGCTCCGCCATTTCCTTATTGCTAAAATTCTAATAGTTCGCCTAATTTCAGTTTGTGACAAAACAAGCAAGTCTAGTGTAGAGAAACATTGTAACATCTAAACCGCAGTGAAATATATTTTCCATAATCAAAAATATTGTATTTTCAGCTGGTCAAATCAAATCAAATTGTATTTGCCACATGCGCCGATTACAACAGGTGTAGACATTACCGTGATATGCTTACTTACAGCCATTAACCAACAATGCCGTTTAAGAACAAAAAAAGTAAAAAATAATGCAAACAGTCCGGGTAGCCATGATTAGCTGTTCAGGAGTCTTATGGCTTTGGGGGTAGAAGCTGCTTAGAAGCATCTTGGACCTAGACTTGGCGCTCCGGTACTGCTTGACGTGCGGTAACAGAGAGAATAGTCTATGACTAGCGTGGTTGGAGTCTTTGACAATTTTTAGGGCCTTCCTCTGACACCGCCTGGTATAGAGGTCCTGGATGGCAAGAAACTTGGCCCCGGTGATGTACTGGGCCGTACGCACTACCCTCTGTAGTGCATTGCGGTCAGATGCCAAGCAGTTGCCATACCAGGCGGTAATGCCTGGTATGGCAGAACTTTCGGAGGATCTGAGGACCCATGCCAAATCTTTTCAGTCTCCTTAGGGGGAATAGGCATTGTCGTGCCTTCTCCACAACTGTGTTGGTGTGTGTTAATTACTTAGTGATGTGGACAACGAGGAACTTGAAGCTCTCGACACGCTCCACTAAAGCCCCAATGTGGCTGGGGGCGTGCTTGGCCCTCCATTTCCTGTAGTCCACGATTAGCTCCTTTGTCTTGCTGACGTTGAGGGAGAGGTTGTTGTCCTGGCACTGCACTGCCAGGTCACTGACCTCCTCCCTATAGGCTGTTTCATCATCGTTGGTGATCAGGCCTACCACCGTCGTGTTGTCAGCAAACTGAATGGTGGTGTTGGAGTCGTGCGTGGTGTTGAGGGTCAGCATGGCCTACCTTCACCACCTGGGGGCGGCCCGTCAGGAAGTCCAGGATCCAGTTGCAGAGGGAGGTGTTCCAGGGTCCTTAGCTTAGTGATGAGATTGGAGGGGACTATGGCGTTGAACGAAGCGTTGAAGCTGTGGTCAATGAACAGCATTCTCACATACAGTGTATTCGGAAAGTATTCAGAGCCCTTCACTTTTTGTTACGCTATAGCCTTATTCTAAAATAGATTAAAAACTGAAATATCACATTTACATAAGTATTCAGACCCTTTACTCAGTACTTTGTTGAAGCACCTTTGGCAGCGATTACAGCCTCGAGTCTTCTTGGGTATGACGCTACAAGCTTGGCACACCTGTATTTGGGGAGTTTCTCCCATTCTTCTCTGCAGATCCTCTCAAGCTTAGTCAGGTTGGATGGGGAGCGTCGCTGCACAGCTGTTTTCAAGCCTCAAGTCCGGGCTCTGGCTTGGCCACTCAAGGAAATTCAGAGACTTGTCCCGAAGCCACTCCTGCGTTGTCTTGGCTGTGTGCTTAGTGTGTCGTTCTGTTGGAAGGTGAACCTTCGCCCCAGTCTGAGGTCCTGAGCACTCTGGAGCAGTTTTTCATGAAGGATCTCTCTGTACTTTGCTCCGTTCATCTTTCCCTCGAACCTGACTAGTCTCCCAGTCCCTGCCAATGAAAAACATCCCCACAGCATGATGCTGCCACAACCGTGCTTCACCGTAGGAATGGTATTGGCCAGGTGATGAGCGGTGCCAGGTTTCCTCCAGACGTGACGCTTGGCATTCATGCCAAAGAGTTCAATCTTGGTTTAATCAGACCTGAGATTCTTGTTTCTCATGGTCTGAGAGTCCTTTAGGTGCCTTTTGGCAAACTCCAAGCGGGCTGTCATGTGCCTTTTACTGAGGAGTGGCTTCTGTCTGGCCACTCTACCATAAAGGCCTGATGTGGAGTGTTGCAGAGACGGTTGTCCTTCTGGAAGGTTCTCCCATCTCCACAGAGGAACTCTGGAGCTCTGTCAGAGTGACCATCGGGTGCTTGGTCACCTCCCTGACCAAGGCTCTTCTCCCTCGATTGCTCAGTTTGGCCGGGCGGCCAGCTCTAGAAAGACTCTTGGTGATTCCAAACTTCTTCCATTTAAGAATGATGGAGGCCACCGTGTTCTTGGGGACCTTCAATGCTGCCGAAATGTTTTGGTACCCTTCCCCAGATCTGTGCCTCGACACAATCCTGTCTCGGAGCTCTACAGACAATTCCTTCGACCTCGTGTCTTGGTTTTTTCTTTGACATGCACTGTCAAACTGTGGGACCTTATATAGACAGGTGTGTGCCTTTCCAAATCATATCCAATCAATTGAATTTACCACAGGTGGACTCCAAGTTGTAAAAACATCAAGGATGATCAATGGAAACAGGATGCACCTGAGCTCAATTTCAAGTCTAATAGCAAAGGGTCTGAATACTAATGTAAATAAGGTATTTTTGTGATTATGGGGTATTGTGTGTAGATTGATGTGGGAAAAAATGTATTTAATCAATTTTAGAATAAGGCTGTAACGTAACAACATTTGGAAAAGTTCAAGGGGTCTGAATACTTTCCTAATGTACTTTCGATCACCATGGGGACGATGTTGTTGATGCACTTATTAATGAAGCCGATGACTGTGGTAAACTCCTGAATGTTATCGGATGAATCCCGGAACATATTCAAGTCTGCAACAAAACAGTCTTGTAGCTTTAGCATCTGCTTCATCGGACCACTTCCATATGGAGGGCGCTACTGGTACTTCCTGTTTGAGTTTTTGCTTGTGCGCAGGAATCAGGAGGATAGAGTTATTTGCCAAAGGGAGGGCGAGCTTTGTATGCGTCTCTGTGTGTGGAGTAAAGGTGATCTAGAGTTGTCGCCTCTAGTTGTTCAGGTGACATGCTGGTAAAAACGAGGTAAAACGGATTTCAGTTTCCCTGCATTAAGATCACCGGCCACGAGAAGCGCCGTCTCTGGGTGTGCATTTTCTTGTTTGCTTATGGCCCTATGCAGCTCATTGAGTGTGGTCTTTGTGCCAGCATCAGGTTGTGGTGGTAAATAGACAGCTATGAAAAATATAGATTAAAACTCTTGGTAAATAGTATGGTCTGCAGCTTATCATGAGTTATTCTAACTCAGGCCAGCAAAAACTTGAGACTTCCTTAACATTAGAGATCGCGCTCAAGCTGTTGTTAACAAATAATAATAATAATAATAATAATAATAATATGCCATTTAGCAGACGCTTTTATCCAAAGCGACTTACAGTCATGCGTGCATACATTTTTGTGAATCGAACCCACTACCTTGGCGTTACAAGCGCCGTGCTCTACCAGCTGAGCTACAGAGGACTACAAAGAGATACACCCCTCCCCCTTCGTCTTGCCTGAGGCTGCCGTTCGGTCTTGTCAATACATGGAAAAACCAACTAGATGTATATTATCCATGTCCTCATTCAGCCACGACTCTGAGAAACAGAATATAACAGTTCTTCAGGTCCCATTGATAGGATAGTCTCGAACTGAGCTCTTCCAGTTTGTTCTCTAGTGACTGTACGTTCGTTCGCCAATAGAATGGAGGGTAGAGGCGGTTTATTTGCTCGCTAACGTAATCTCGTCCGAATGCCGG